TATTATCATTGCACTCTTCCCAGGTGAGGCAGTCAGTCACCAGCCATTGGACGGCTGCTCACAGCGGCTCACAGCAGCCCACTGCAGCCCCACTGCAGGCCCGCTGAGTCACTGGCAACTCACTGCAGCCCAGCTCCAGGTCAAGCTGTTGTTCACCATCTTAGCTGTAGAGGGCGCACGTCACTGGCCCTCATGTGGGATCCCAACCGAGGCCCTGCTGCTCAGAGCTGGCGGCGTCCCAAGCCAACTCTTAACAAACGCGCTACTCGGCCAACCCCCCAGGGTTCATTTCTGAGCTCCAGACTTTAGCTACCAGTTGGGTTTTCCCTTCAAATGCTTTTCGACATAATCAAAATGGGATCCATTCCACCCTCTCTTCTCCCTTTATCCTGGTTTCCTGCCATATTCTTATCGCAGTGCTTTTTAAATCCTAAGTTATAATCCATTATTTGGCTATGAAATCAATATAGGGGTTGTAGTCACTTTTTTTTTTAAAGGTGCAGAATTCCTTTGAACAAATCACTGTGAATCATTTGCTGTAAGGTTAAACAAGGTTTTGTGAAACTTGATTGTCTATATGGTTGTGTGTGTGTGTGTGTGTGTGTGTGTGTGTGTGTGTGTGTGTGTGTGCGCTCGCGCGCGCTCGCGCGCGCTCGCACTAGATCAGATGTAAAATGCATTTCTTTCTGTGTAATGGTCACAAAAGATTCCACAGTGGTTCTCTGTCTCTTGTACTGGCTAAATGGGTAGGAGAACTCTGGAGCTGCCTTTGGTTTCCCCCTAACCATCTCCCTCCCACCTCCCCCGACTAGCAACCCTCTTTTTCAATTAATCAGTGTTTCCTGTGGACCTGTCACTTATCATCCCAGCTCCATGGATGGTGACTTAACCTAAGCCCTTGTCCTCTCCGCAGCCCACTCCGCCCTCCTCACTGGGCTCTCCTCCCTCTCCCTCCCTGTCCCCAGTCACTGCTGCCAGACAGTGTGAGTCTTCCTCACACACAGCTGGGATTTTGTCATTCTCTTCTCTGTTTCCTAGAACAGGAACCCACTCCTCTCCACCCCCTCCAGTCCCTCCTTCATTACCCAATCAGCCAACACGAGGTGAGCACCTGACTGTGCCAGGAAGCACACCAAGCCAACGTGGTCCCTCGGTCAGCACACCCTCATGCCTACTGTGCAGCCTCAGACTGCCCTCCAGCCTCACTCCTGCATGTCCTCCCCGCTGTCCTGCCTCTTGCCCCTGCTCCCCCCTCCCTCTGCAGAGTGGATGAGCTCGGACCTAGGTGCTGGATTTTTATTCAAAGCCTGGGTCTGACACAGCCTGCTGTGTGACCATGGGCAGGCCGTTAGAAAGATTGGTGATAACATGTGCTAGGCATCTGGCCCATAGTAAATACTGGGTAAGTGGTGGCCAGTGTGACAAGGAGACGTGAGGGCCATGCTCTTTTCCCTGCCTGGTCAGCCCCCACTCCAGGGAGCTTTTCTTTTTATCCTCCTCCAAGGCTCTCTTTTCTCGCCTTTCCAGTCAGAATTAATGCATCTTTCCTGTGCACTCAGAAACAGACAGGCTATTGACAAATGCACACAGGAGGAAAGCAGGAGTTGAGAGGACGAGATCTTCAGGCTTGTCTGAGCTCTGCTCTCTCTGTGCCTGGAAGGCCCCTGTGTTCTGACTGGGAGGCCCAAGAGGCTTTTTGCAGCGGGCAGTGGACAGCAGGGGGACAACGGGGGAGGTGAAGGCATCCCAGGGACAGAATAGCAAGCAGGAAGGTAAGAGGCACCCAATCCCACTTGTTCCTGAAGGTACAGCCTGAAGCCACCTGAAGTCCCTCCAGTTACAGGGATCCCTCCCAGCTGTGGGTCACTTTTTGCTGCCCAGTTACTGTGTGTGTTCCTGCATTACCAGACAGTGGGATCCTAGTGGGCACAATCCTCCTGTTCCCCATAGACCACACAGTATCTTGCTCATAGTAATTACTCAGTGAATGTTTGCTGAAGGAATGTACGAGTGAACAGACAAGGGAATGAATGAATGATGTGAGTACTTTGTTCCCTGGGAAAGTGCAGTGAGCTGGAATTGAGCCTCCTGATGAGGCTGGCCCAAATTTGCATAAGCCTGTCTCCTTTTCCTCCCTAACTCTAGGCTTATTCACCTAAAAGCCTGTTGTTTAGACACTTGATTCTAAGAAAGGGGGTCCCTGAGAGTAAGACAAGCTCTTAGACACTGGAAAAAAAAAACTTATCCTCTTCTGTAAATAAACAACTTGATTTCTAGGGTATGTCACTCTGGCAGAGAATATCCATCCTCCCCCTTAGTGGGCAATCCTGACTTTACGGTAGCACTATGCTCAACTAAAGTACTACATTTCCCAGAATCCCTTGCAGCTGGGGCTGGCCAATGAAATGTGAGCAAAGACAAGGGTGGGACTTCGGGGAATCTGTTTAAAGAAAGATGACTCTGCAGGGGGTGCACCTGGTTCATGTCTGTTGCCCTCCCCCTTCTTCTTGTCTGGAAAGTGGACAAGAAGGCAGGAGCTCCTATAGCCATGTTGTGGGGACACCTGGTGACATACCATACCAGGCCTAGGCTTCTTCATTCGTTCTTCAAGTGAGAGAATAAACATTCAATTTTTTTTAGTCACTGGAGTGGGGATTCTATTCCTGACAGCAGAACATAATTCCTAGCTGATACAGTTTCATTTGAACTTAGAGTGAATCAGGGCCTCAAATAGGTAAATGGATCAAATTTCCTCAACCTGCAAAGCCAAGGTCCAAACGTTCAACTTTGGGTACCCTGTCAACTTAGGCCCTCCGGACTGAACGTGGAGGGCACCCAGAGCACAGCATGGCAGGGAACTACAGCTTCTTCACGGCCGTGGGGGCTCTGGGGGCTCTACTTGCAAGCTAGGTTTGCTCACAGCAGGGCCAGGCTCTGCTTTCATTGGCAATAACCACACACAAGCCATGGTCCATTGGGCTGCTTGGGCTAGAGCAAAGGGCTGGGGGGTTTCCTGAGTTTCCAGTATGTAATGAGGCGGGGGTGAGGGGAGGTCCTGTGAGGTACCACCCAGGAGCCTGGAGCAGAAAGCAGATGAGCCAGGTGGCAGCCAAGAATGCAGAGCTGATGAGCACCTTAGGCTTGGGTGACTTTGCATGCCTGTGGGAGGCCACTGTCCCCAGAGAGAAGGGGGACCAGAACGTGAGTGGGGGCAAAGATTCTCTCTGTGTCCAAATGGAGCAAATGTCACATGGCCTCTTTACCTAGGGACAGCCTCAGTTCCTTCTTCTCTAAAACAGGGATAATTTATCCTCTGAGGAGTGTGAGGATTAAAAGAGTTACCACAGTGGAATCACTGGGCACAGCTCCTAGTGGCTCCAATCCTTTCATTCCTTCCTGCTTTACTGCCTCGCCCTCCCATCTTCCCACCTGCCTGGTCTCTTGACAAGTGCCCTTGGCCCCACAGTGGGGCCGGAAAGTGTGGAGTGGGTGTCAGCTCCGTGCTCTTGGAGAGCCTCTGCCGCCACCAGCCATCTTGGGGTCCAGGTGATGCACTGAATTTCACTCTGGAGGCACCAAGCTGCCCAAATGAGACTGCCCTGGCCCCAGGAAGGTAGAGCATGGGGGAGTCCAGAGACATGCTGAGGCAGGCAATGAAAAGTGGGGGGCTGAAGGGGCAAGTTCAGGAGTGTGTGCAGGGCTGGGAGGCCGAGGTTTCTTCTGCACCTACGGCACTGGGAGTGACGTGAAGACAGCCTGTCATGCCATGTGGGCAAGGAGGACAAAGAGCTTGGAGACAAAGGGAAGGAGAAGGGGAGCCAAGGAAAACAGAGCCAGGGCCCAGGACAGGCATATCAGAAGCCCTGTGCGGGCAGAAGGGTTGCCTGGCCTGAGGGCCTTGCCGGCCCTGGCTCTGTGGGTGGCGAGGAGGGACGTGCTATGCCTTCTGAGAGATTTAAGCCCTTAGGGAGAGACACCACAATGGGGTGTCTGATTTTATAGCTCTGCTGCCCCTGTGAGGTCCATTTAAAGCTCCTGTATGTGGGTGCTACTCATATAGGCAAATGACAGGACTCAGAGTCCCCAAATCCAAGGTGACAGACCCACTGTAAACATTACAAAGATCCACAGAGCTGTTGTCACTCTTCTGGCTCCAGCTATCTGCTCTCTTTTTAGGCTCAAAACAGAAGGCTGTAATCCTGTCATTTGTATCTCTTTATTATAAGAATGACCCCTGAGTTGGAGGACAGGCTCAGTGGGGCCAAATGTCTAATCAGCAGGCCTGGAACACCACCGGAACCAGGAGGGAGCCAAGCTCCCGGCCCTTAGGCAGGCTGCAGATGGGGCCCTGGGGCTCCTGCTTGCTGGGTAGGAGGGTGTCTGTGAGGGAGGGCTAGGAAGGACTTTCCGGGAAAAATCTTTGCATGTGGAGCAGCAGCAGGCTTCTCTTCCCAGGCCCCTGGGTAAACCTTGGCAGGGATGAGGAGTAGCCCGGACCCTTTGGCACATTAGCCCAGTCCAGAAAGTGCATCCAGATTCATAGCAACTGGCATTAAGGCATGGGCAGTGGTTCTCAGACTTCACACATCAGAATCACTGAAGGGCTTGTTACAGCACAGATGGTGGGCCACCCCCAGTTTCTGATTCCTTCAGAGTGGGGTGCGGCCTGGGAACATGCATTTCTATCAAGCTCCCATTTGCTGCTGATGCTGCTGATGCTGCTGGTCCCCCCGCCAGCCCCCCACCTCCCACACTTTGAGGCCTAGGTATAAAAGGACACTGGGGGAAGGAGTGAGCTGGGAGGAGGGCCCAGGCCATGTGGCCCTTGGGAGCACTTGGGTGTGTTTAGGGTGGGGCAAGTTTGGGTGGGTGGCTAGGAGTGTGGGATAGAATGATTCTGAAATGACTCCCAGTGGACCCAAGCTCTTGACAGTAGTGCCCTTGTGTAAGCCCATCCTCTTGAGTGTAGACTCGACTTAGTAACTTTCTTCTAGTGAATGGAACATAGTAAAAGTGACCAGATGTCACTCCTGAGATGAGGTTTCCAAGACTGTGACTTCCGTCTTGCCCTCCTCTCTCTGCTCTTTTTGGCTTGCTCGCTGTGATGATACCAGCTGCCATGTTGAGAGTCGCCCTCTGGAGAGGCCCACCTGGCACCTGAATCTTGCCAGCAGCCACGAGTGAACTTTGAAGCTCAGCCTCCTCTAGTCAAGCCTTGAAATGACTTGAATGGAGCCAGCCTGGCTGACAACTTAATTGCAGCCCTGGGAGACACCCTGAGCCAGACTTAGCCCAGCTAAGCCACACCCAGATTCCTTATCCTCAGAAACTAAGAGACAGTAAGTCTTGTGGTTTTAAGCCATTACGTTTTGGGGGTATTTTGTTATGCAGCAATAGATAACTGCTACAGAGTTATTGAATGAATGAATTAAAAAAAAAAGCGTAAGTGGATGGATGGACAGCCTGGCCAGGACACCTGCCAGGTGCTGCGTGTAGCGCTGGTGTCTCTGTCCAGGGTATTACTCCCCTGGTGCCTTCTCATAACCTGACACGGCTCAGGTCACAGGGTCCCAGTTGTCCAGAGTGAGGAAAGAGGAACCTGTCAAGATACTGCCATTCCCAGAGCCTTGACACTAGCCTTAGAGCTGAACCTGGAGGTCTGGAATGCTGGGCCATGGTTTTCAGGGCCCTGTAGGCATCGATCCTCATTCTAAAAGACTAAGACCAGTGCAGCACAGTGAAGGAACTCTGCCCTGAGCAGGAACAGAATGACCTGGGGTAGGGGCTCGGGCAGGAGGATTATGATGACCCAGGAGAACCCGACTTGCAGCCTGCCACACCCTCCAGAGAAGGCCACTCTCCCTGGGGTCATCCACCTTGCCTCAAAATTCTCGATTTCCATTAGAACCAATGCTCTCCCAGCTTGGCTTTCATCACCATGAAGTTTTTCTTCTAGAAATTCCCTCTCCCTCACATCACTGGTCTTCTCTTGTAAGTCTGGCTTTTCTGTAGCTGTGAGTTTTGGGGTTAATAACTTAACCTTGCAGAGCCTCAGTTTTTCCTCTGGTATAAAATGAGACTAATACGTCACCAGAGATGATCAGGGGAAGCCCCCCACCCCTTCCTGGGGCCTCACAGTGGGGGGAGGGGGGAAAGGGAGAGCAACAGGCTGTGTTAAAGGCAAGGTTGACCAAGCAAGGTGGGCGCTTGGTGGCTGGAGGAGCTTCTAGAAGGCCGTAACCCTACTAGTGGAGATTAGACTTCATTTCACTTCTACCCTGCTTCATTTTACAAAGGGTTTTTAAAACTACATACAATGTTATAAGATAACATGATAGTTGAGAAAACAGGGATTAATAAGCTAAATAAACACATCCTTTATAAAATATAAGTCTCTGCATAGCTGTTTGCTACCGTATCTTATCCAGAGTTGTACCCAGTGTTGTCATGATTTGTGAAGATATGTGAGCAAGTGTACAACAGGACCAAAGTGAATTATGCAAAGGGCCACTTGGGGGCCTGTCACTGGGCCCCCCACTTCCTGCACATTTCTCCTGAAGCCTCTTAAGCAGGCATCAGCAAATGAAGTCCAGGGGGCCAGATCAGGCCCTTGAGCTAAGAATGTGTTTCTATTTGCAAATGGTTGTAAAAAAATAAAAAGATTGATAATATTTCATGACACATGAAAATTACGTGGAATTCAAATTTCAGTATGCATAATTAAGTTCCGTTGGAACAAAGCCATGCTCAGCTGCTTCCATGCTACAACCGCAGAGCTGAGCAGTTGTGACAGAGCCGGTCTGGCTCTGAAAGCCTAAACACGCACTCCCTGGCCCTGTCAGGAACCGTGTGCTGACGCCTGCTCCTGCCAGAACAGTTTCTCAGGCTTGGCTGTCTTCTCCTTATATCTTGCTGCTCTCCTCCCCAAGTGTCCAGCCTTCCTTCTACACTCTGTCTGAAACGTTGGCCCTTGAAAGCCAACACCACAGGTACCTGGAGACACTGCCGGTATCCGTTCCCCAGGGCAGCAGGAGTCAGCGCATGAATGATTGAGAGCATCGGATCAGCCCAAAGCCTCTTTCCAACCACTGGTTTCAACTTCTGTCATCACCCATTTTCTCCCAGGGTGATTGAGAAATACTAAATGGACCAGCGCTCTGTCCAGGGAAGAGGGACATGGCCAAAAGGGGGCATGAAAGGGACAAGGAGGAAAAGCAGAGGTGCCCAGGGAATCACATGAATGATTCAAGTCCTGCAAGAGACAGCATGATGGCCAGCCCACCCCCAAGTCCTACTAGAGAGGAAAGTGGGTGACACCATCTTCTTCTTTACTCCTGCTGCTGAGACACGCTCCACAGAAGCGGGCCATTGAGAAACTCTCCTCCAGGAGTCAGATGCCATGACCCACTGGTGCCCCTTCCTCAGTTGCCCTCCTTCCCACTTCTCCTTCCTGTGCCCTAGTTCCTGCCATGTTTGAGGGCTTTTTTGGACCCTGAGGCCGGCTCCTGTGAAGCCAGAACATGGAGACAGCCATGGTCACGACCTCGGCAAACCCAGCCAATTTCCCCCAGCTCTGCTGATACCCCAGGCGCTGAGACTCTGGGGCCTAGATGTGGCCTTAGAAATCATGTAGTGCAGCCCTCTTATCTTAAAGAGGAAACTGAGGCAGAGGTAATGGAAGCTGCTTAACCAAATCACATATCTAAGTAGTGGCAAAGCTCACACTGGACCAAATGCTGTATCCCTTTGATTGAGGTTCAGCTTGGAGGCCATTTCAATACTTCTGGCTTGTTTCAAGGAAATATTCACGTAAGGATATTCAGGTTTGGTTCAGGCTTGAACAGGCTTCTTTTTTAGATTGACTTCTGGCTAAATAAAGAATTAATTTTAGGGCCCAGTTTGGGGCTCAGCAAATGGAAAATTATAATTGTGCCTTCTTTCTTGCCTTTCTGAGCACACATGGGACCCAGGGAGACGTCCATGTGCCTGACTGGATGCGTGAGCAGGGCTGTGGCTGAGAGGGATTGCCTCCATTCCTTGATTTCCCCTCTAGCAAACAGAAGGCCAGGCTTGCTGGGTTAGAATAGAATTTTCCACGAGGGAGGTCCAGATAGGAAGAGAGCACAAAGTGGGGAAGGCCTGGCCCTCTGGGCCCCAAGAAGTAGAAGGGGAGGGTGCTATGGTCTGAATGTGTCCCCCCAAATGCACATGATGAAAACTAACCCTTAAGGTGATGGTCAAAGGTGGAGCCTTTGGGAGGCAATTAGGCTGTGAGGGCAGAGCCATCAGGAATGGGGTTAGTGCCCTGATGAAAAAGATTCCAGAGAGCTCCCTTGTACCTTCTACCACAAGAGGATACAAGGAGAAATCTGCGACTCAGACGAGGGCCCTCGCTCAATTATGCTGGCACCCCGATGTTGGGCTTCTGGCCTCCAGAATTGTGAACAACACATTCTTGTTGTTTACAAGCCACCCAGTCTGTAGTTTTTTGTTATAGCAGCCTGAATGGACAGAAGGGCAGGGGGACATGACAGAGGGGAGTGAGAGAGAGAGCTACGGGGGGCTGCTTAGGACTCTGGGGCGGGGGCCCTCTAAGGCCATGCCTGCCAGTGACACAGCCACAGCACAGAAAACACGGGGCCCTGAGGGGCAGCTGTGCTGAGCCCCTCCTCATCCCATGGACAATTTCCATACCAACCACAAGAGAAGGCCAGATTAGTTCCAGACAAGTAAAGAAGTAATATTTTCTCTGGCCATCTCAGTTGAAAAGTGCATGAATTTTGTAATCTCGCTATGTTGACTTTGGTTTCAGGAGGAGACCTCATTTTATTCAGACCTTTTGTTGTACTTGGCTTTAAATCAGGATTCCTTCCTGGGGCCACACACCCTTTTTTTTTTTTTATAACAAGGCTGCTGGATGACTTGGCTCCTCTTTCACTTCTTCCCCAGTGCCTTACCTCCTGGGACCTCTCTGAGATCAGGATGAAGCCGTTGTTGTCAATGACGAAGCAGTCCAGGTCCTGGAGAGAAGTCCAGAAGGGAGGTGAGGCCAGGCCCCATCACTGACCTCTGGGGCCCAGATCTATCCTGACATTTGGGAAGGCAGCCTTCTATGTATGTCCAGTGAGAAGGTTCCCTCTGTGGATCTGTGGAGCCTAGCCCTGCATGGAAGGAGGGCATTTGGGGAGGAGGGGAGTGGGCCCATCCAGAGGCTGTGGGTTGAGGGGCCTACAGCTCCCACTTCTACCTTCTTCACACTGGGAAGAACTTACACTGTCTTGGCAGCTCTCTGGGCACAGTTCATCCACCGCACTGCACTGGAAGCAAGAGGAGAAATTGTAGATTGCGTGTGCCCGTCTGTGCCTAGGGTAGGTATGTAGTGTGTGAGCATGTCGAGTGCTGCGTGTGTGGCACGTTTGTGTTGTGGATTTATGTGTGGGGACTGGTGGGTGTGTGTTTATGGTATCTGGTGTTGTGTGCACATGTGTATGGATGGTATATGTTTAATGTGTGTCTGTCTGTGTACTGTATATGTGATGTGTATGTGGTACATGCAGGGCATGTGTGGTGTGTGATGTGTGCATGTATGGTATATGTGTGGTTGTGTGTGCATGTATGTATCAGTGTGTGTGTGTGAATGTGGTGTGTGTGTGTGTGTGTGAATGTGGTGTATGTGTGTGTATGTGTGTGTGTGTGAATGTGGTGTGTGTGTGAATGTGTGTGTGTGTGAATGTGGTGTATCTGTGTGTGTGTGTGTGGGGGGGGAGGGTGCATTAGTAGTGTCTGGGCACTGGAGCAGGATCCTTGCTGGCTGGCAACTGCCAAAGCACACAAGGTCAGCTCCTCTGAGGGAGCCACAGCCCCTGCAGCTGTGGGTGAGGGGAGAAGGTCAGCTGCATTGCTGGGCCTCATGGGGTGGCTTCTTACTGTTCTTTGCCATCAGGCAGGATGTGGTGGCTGACCCCAGACCACTGGACTGGTGCTCCTTCCCCCTCCAATCCCTTCCATCTTTATTGTCTGGTTCCTTAAACTTGCTCAAAGTGAGGATGCAACAAGTGAAAGGGGGCCATGGAACAGAGGAGGCTCAGTGCCGTGGGGGCAGATTCGGGGCTGGAGGAGCTTGTGGGGGACAGTGAGAGCCCTGGGACCCTGGAAGAGCCTGAGTCTGAGGGCTCTAGGGAGTAGAGGCAGGAAAGGAAGAGGTGGAACGGGAAGGGCTATGGTAAGCCCAGCTTTCCGGGCAGACCACGGCTTGGCTCTTGGCTGGAGGGACTGAGGGGAGCAGTCTCTGTACTCTGCCCTGAGAGGATGCCGTGAGAGGGCTTTGAAGCATCAGAGATGTAGTGAAAGGCAGGCCAGCCCCAAAGGGGACACTGTGTCCTGTCCTTTGTCTGGGGTCTAACTTGAGAGAGAGCACTGGGTGGGAAAGGCTGAGACCAGACAGGGGCCACTGACAGAGGCACGGGAGC